AAGGGCCCATTTTTACAATTTTTCAAAAATTGAGTTTTTGTTAGATTCATATAAACTTTGACATGATTGACATTTTTTAATTATAAATGAAAGTCGATTCTCTTAATAAAAAATAGAGATAATGTAAAAGAAAGATTACACGAGGCTGCCTAAGGTCAAGCATATCACACGATTACCCGATAGTCACCTGCTACTGTTAACCAATTAAAATTGTGAAATTCGATTAATCCTGGATCAGTCCGAAAATCAAAACAAATATTTAAACTCAATTATCTCGAAATGAGATAAATGTAAAAATGGGCTCTTTTAATTGAAGACACTCCATATATCTCATTTTGACATTTCTGACATGGATGATGATCAGGTATAGGTGCATCAAGTCCTGGATTCATTGTGGTGACTTGTGAATTAAGATACTGTATAACTGTATTCTTAATTTGATTGTCATTTTTATTTGTTCTTATTCATTTACAGGAGCATTCTGTTTCTTTTCTATACCATGTACATATATACTACCACAATATTGCTACTCAAACCTATACTACTAGTCTTCTAAATCACATTGCTGTTTTAGTACATCATTAAAAAAAACCTCAAACTGCTTGTTAAAAAACCAAACAGCAATATGAGGATTGTCAATAATATTTTGACGTCGACAATTTGCAGAGTTATTTTCAGATATACAGTACTAAAAGTAAAGAATACTAATCCTTGTGAGCCTAATTGTTTTATCATATCTGATAACTCACAACAACATGCAGCCCAAAATTGCTGAGTTCTACGCAAACCAACACCAAATTGCATAATTTTGTTAGCCATATGTATATCACCTTCTGTAATCATATTTCAAATATTAGTAATAGTAAGCTGATCATTATTCAAACTTAGCCTAACAAAAACTTTTTCTTCTTGTAATGCTTTTCATCACATTAAGGAATTTAATGCAAAATAACACTAATGAGAGTGATGTACAAATCTTCCATCTTTAAATTAGAGAAAATGCTTAAAGTATTCAGCTATTTTGACATCTTTAGCATGTTCTGCATAAAAGTCAGCACAACCAGTTAGATATAAAGTTGGAAATGCACATACAATATATCCTAGAGTTTGAAATTCATTAATTGGCATGTTGTCAATATGTGGCCATATTATTGGTAGATCCTCAGACTTCAGATGTCAAAAGCATTATTAATAGCAACATTTTCACAATCAGTTAGTAGAAGAAAAGATACAAAAGAACATGTAATTTCATCTTCAATTTCAATATTTGAATCATCATCTGTTTCATTAGTTTTTGTTGTAGAAGCTGATCATCTATATAACCATCTTCAGGCAAAGATTCAAGTACTTCATTGTTGATAATAATATCAGCATAATAATGATTATTTGCCTTTAACCAATATAGTGCATTTGCAACAATATTATGATGAACTATAAAGTCTCTGAATGCAGTAAGATCATTTGCTGATTAATGACGCACAATTAATATATTTAATATCGATGGATGTTGAGGAAGCCGTGTAGTAAATTCTTGTATGTCTTGAGAAAAATTTATAACATTTTCTCTATAACCGAGTTGCCCACCACTAAGTTTATATACTAATATTATAGTAAAAACTTGTGCTATTAATATTTCTTCTACTTCTATTAAACTCTGAAGCTTCTCAGGTATTTCACCTGGATCCATATTATTTGCAGCAGACAACTTTTTTGGTAAAACCTTTTCATCATTGCAATGATAGCACATTCTATTGACAAACACTATGGATGGGAATCATTCATTGTATATAGTGCAAAGAACATATTGAAGGTTACTCATTTTAGTGCGAAATTTTCTCAAAAATTCTTGTTCGACTTCATTTAATACTGTAGCTGATTGTAATTCAACACTTATTTCTGCAATATTATCATTTTGAGATGTAGCTATAATAATTTCTTCATTTTTAGATGTATTATTAATATTTTCAATTTGAGATGAAGTAGAAATATTTTTACTAATTGGATGTATACTTTCTATATTTACTGATATTACAGGTCGTTCTGATTCTTGCTATAAATTAGCATTTGTTCTTGCTTTACAATGTTTTCTTTCTCTATCTCAAGCAAGACGTGATTCACATTCTTAGGCAGTTTTTGTTACTCTTTTTTGGAGCCTTCTATTCTGATTACTTGAAAGACATTCTTGACACTTTTTAAATGACTCTTTTTCTCTATATCTATGTTGTCGGTATATACTACTGTAAATTGATTTTTATTTATAATTTTTTTAATCTTTAAAATAATGAAAATTAATTGCACTAATGAATTTT